ATCCGACGCACCTATGTACCAAATTGCATCCAAATCGGTCGCAATTTACTCTCAAAAACGCTAAAACACGCTTAAAACAGCTCGCAGAGCCCCCATCGCGTCGATTTGTGACTTAAACGCATACTTGCGAATATCTAGAAATAAATTTGCTAGGGCCACAATGATTTTGGATGTCGTTCAAACGCGTTTCACGCCCCTAAGTTAACCCCCTTAAAAGAATTGCCCTAGCAAATTTATTTCGGTAGATATTCGCAAGTATGCGTTTAAGTCACAAATCGACGCTCTGGGAGCTCTGCGAGCTGTTTTAAGCGTGTTTTAGCGTTTTTGAGAGTAAATTGCGACCGATTCGGCTGCAATTTGGTACATAGGTGCGTCGGATGAATACATTGCGATCGGCTATCTGCGTTTTTGCGTGCGACCTCAATTTGTCGCGTTATGGCCAGATTCAGGTGCGAATTTGGCCAAAAACTGCATTTGGCCGAAACACAAAAAGTTGCATAGGAATAATTTATTTGTCGCTTCCAGAGGATGTAATACAACGCCACGAATCTATAGGCACCAACCGCGTGTCTGTGAGAAATTATTTGTAGAAGTTATGGGCATGCGTTCGCCTAGTCCCGATCGCGCAAGTGCCGATATACAACGTGCCCATATGGGGAGAAATTAACGTGCTAGGGCCACAATGTGGATGTCGTTCAATAGCGTTTCACGCCCTAAGCGACCCCCTTAAAAATCATTGCCCTAGCAAATTTATTTCGGTAGATATTCGCAAGTATGCGTTTAAGTCACAAATCGACGCTCTGGGGGCTCTGCGAGCTGTTTTAAGCGTGTTTTAGCGTTTTTGAGAGTAAATTGCGACCGATTTGGCTGCAATTTGGTACATAGGCGTCGGATGAATACATTGCGATCGGCTATCTGCGTTTTTGCGTGCGACCTCAATTTGCCGCGTTATGGCCAGATTCAGGTGCGAATTTGGCCAAAAACTGCATTTGGCCGAAACACAAAAAGTTGCATAGGAATAATTTATTTGTCGCTTCCAGAGGATGTAATACAACGCCACGAATCTATAGGCACCAACCGCGTGTCTGTGAGAAATTATTTGTAGAAGTTATGGGCATGCGTTCGCCTAGTCCCGATCGCGCAAGTGCCGATATACAACGTGCCCATATGGGGAGAAATTAACGTGCTAGGGCCACAATGTGGATGTCGTTCAATAGCGTTTCACGCCCGTAAGTGACCCCCTTAAAAGAATTGCCCTAGCAAATTTATTTCGGTAGATATTCGCAAGTATGCGTTTAAGTCACAAATACGCGCTGTGGGAGCTCTCCGAGCTGTTTTAAGCGTGTTTTAGCGTTTTTGAGAGTAAATTGCGACCGATTTGGCTGCAATTTGGTACATAGGTGCGTCGGATGAATACATTGCGATCGGCTATCTGCGTTTTTGCGTGCGACCTCAATTTGTCGCGTTATGGCCAGATTCAGGTGCGAATTTGGCCAAAAACTGCATTTGGCCGAAACACAAAAAGTTGCATAGGAATAATTTATTTGTCGCTTCCAGAGGATGTAATACAACGCCACGAATCTATAGGCACCAACCGCGTGTCTGTGAGAAATTATTTGTAGAAGTTATGGGCATGCGTTCGCCTAGTCCCGATCGCGCAAGTGCCGATATACAACGTGCCCATATGGGGAGAAATTAACGTGCTAGGGCCACAATGTGGATGTCGTTCAATAGCGTTTCACGCCCCTAAGCGACCCCCTTAAAATCATTGCCCTAGCAAATTTATTTCGGTAGATATTCGCAAGTATGCGTTTAAGTCACAAATCGACGCTCTGGGGGCTCTGCGAGCTGTTTTAAGCGTGTTTTAGCGTTTTTGAGAGTAAATTGCGACCGATTTGGCTGCAATTTGGTACATAGGTGCGTCGGATGAATACATTGCGATCGGCTATCTGCGTTTTTGCGTGCGACCTCAATTTGCCGCGTTATGGCCAGATTCAGGTGCGAATTTGGCCAAAAACTGCATTTGGCCGAAACACAAAAAGTTGCATAGGAATAATTTATTTGTCGCTTCCAGAGGATGTAATACAACGCCACGAATCTATAGGCACCAACCGCGTGTCTGTGAGAAATTATTTGTAGAAGTTATGGGCATGCGTTCGCCTAGTCCCGATCGCGCAAGTGCCGATATACAACGTGCCCATATGGGGAGAAATTAACGTGCTAGGGCCACAATGTGGATGTCGTTCAATAGCGTTTCACGCCCGTAAGTGACCCCCTTAAAAGAATTGCCCTAGCAAATTTATTTCGGTAGATATTCGCAAGTATGCGTTTAAGTCACAAATACGCGCTGTGGGAGCTCTCCGAGCTGTTTTAAGCGTGTTTTAGCGTTTTTGAGAGTAAATTGCGACCGATTCGGCTGCAATTTGGTACATAGGTGCGTCGGATGAATACATTGCGATCGGCTATCTGCGTTTTTGCGTGCGACCTCAATTTGCCGCGTTATGGCCAGATTCAGGTGCGAATTTGGCCAAAAACTGCATTTGGCCGAAACACAAAAAGTTGCATAGGAATAATTTATTTGTCGCTTCCAGAGGATGTAATACAACGCCACGAATCTATAGGCACCAACCGCGTGTCTGTGAGAAATTATTTGTAGAAGTTATGGGCATGCGTTCGCCTAGTCCCGATCGCGCATTGCCCACATACAACTTGCCCATATGGGGAGAAATTAACGTGCTAGGGCCACAATGTGGATGTCGTTCAATAGCGTTTCACGCCCCTAAGCGACCCCCTTAAAATCATTGCCCTAGCAAATTTATTTGTGTAGATATTCGCAAGTATGCGTTTAAGTCACAAATCGACGCTCTGGGGGCTCTGCGAGCTGTTTTAAGCGTGTTTTAGCGTTTTTGAGAGTAAATTGCGACCGATTCGGCTGCAATTTGGTACATAGGTGCGTCGGATGAATACATTGCGATCGGCTATCTGCGTTTTTGCGTGCGACCTCAATTTGCCGCGTTATGGCCAGATTCAGGTGCGAATTTGGCCAAAAACTGCATTTGGCCGAAACACAAAAAGTTGCATAGGAATAATTTATTTGTCGCTTCCAGAGGATGTAATACAACGCCACGAATCTATAGGCACCAACCGCGTGTCTGTGAGAAATTATTTGTAGAAGTTATGGGTATGCGTTCGCCTAGTCCCGATCGCGCAAGTGCCGATATACAACGTGCCCATATGGGGAGAAATTAACGTGCTAGGGCCACAATGTGGATGTCGTTCAATAGCGTTTCACGCCCGTAAGTGACCCCCTTAAAAAATTGCCCTAGCAAATTTATTTCGGTAGATATTCGCAAGTATGCGTTTAAGTCACAAATACGCGGAGCTCTCCGAGCTGTTTTAAGCGTGTTTTAGCGTTTTTGAGAGTAAATTGCGACCGATTCGGCTGCAATTTGGTACATAGGTGCGTCGGATGAATACATTGCGATCGGCTATCTGCGTTGTCTTTTGCAGAGGAATCGTGATCTCGTTCGAATTCTATTGTTCGGAGTGTCAGGAAGACAGCAGACGATAAGTGGAATAGAATAACAACAATAATAATAATAAAAAATAGAAAAAGTGTGTTGCGATGGAGGAAACATTATTTTGGTTGTTTCGTCTGCATGAAAAGTGTTTATTTCCTGTTGTGCTAGTTCCCTGACCAGGAATATCCGCTGTTTGTTGGTCAAGAACACCTTGTGTTGTGTTGAGTAAACACGATTGCTTTGTTGTGCCAGCAAGCAGACGATCATTATTATGCGTTTTTCCACAGACATGGTTATTGGAAAATAGTATAGGTTCGGTTAAGTTCTGTAAATTAGAATCGGTTTTATTGACATTTTTTGTAAACAGAAAAAAAATGTAATTCTTTTTCGAAGGATTTTTTATTTTTAAATCTTTATTTTATTATGAGTTGTATTATAAATAAAATAAACTTATTTTAAAAACTTTTTGCTTCAATTTTTTTTTTTAAGATTCCTTTTATAATTGCTGTAAAAATTAAATCAAAGTTAAAAACTAATTCATGAAATAATTAAATTACATAAATGGCATTTTATTTATATACATGTTGGCGATAGTATCTGTAAATCGTTAAAAAAAAAAAAAAAAAAAAATCGGCAATCGTCACCAAGGATTTTTACCTTTTATCGCCAAGAACTCGAGATTTCGTCAAGTAAACAATTACTTTAATGCATTTAAAATTATACCTAAAGCTTTTTTTAATATAATTTTTAAAGCGTGATTGAAATTGCACGAATTGTAATAATTTTTTTAGTTATGAAAAAAACCATAATTCATGAAAATACTGAGAATTTTATGGAAATGTATTCTCATTTCAACCAAAAAAATTTTAATTTTCTGACTTATAATCAGCAGTATTTTTACATTTTTAGAAATTGCTTTTCTATGCATATTTCTACAATACCATACTCAGTACCTCTGCTATAGGACACACAGAACAACAGTATATGAAGAATTATATTTTTAAGTTGTTGTTGTTCTAATGCAGCTAGCAATACAGAGGAAGTTAATCTTTATGCCATAAGCAAGGGCTGCATTGCCGTTACTCATTCATCACTACCCAGGGGCACGTGTGGCCTGAAGATACGGTGCGGACGCGAGTCACATTGCCCCCGTAACGCTCTGCGATCCTATGAGACCGAAACCTACGTTTTAAAATGGATTCCGAACCACTACAAACATCCATGATACCGCCGGTACTCGAACCCGAAGCCTGTGGCATCGAGAGCCAGAGCGCTAGTCACTCAATCATCAGGCCCCAAAAATAGAAATATCAAATAGAAATCAAATTACAATATAACGTAAATAATAGCACCAAAGTAAATCTTAACAGCCGGATTGGAAATTACAAATTTCTAATATAACAGGTTCTATATTTCACTTTATTCGTTCTTTATATTCAAGTCATTTTTCCGTATATTTCTAATAAATAATAAAAATTAGCGGGGATGCCATGCTAATAATATCGGTTCTCGTTAGATCACCGAAGTCAAGGATCACGTGACTTGGGCGTAGGTCAGTACTTGGGTGGGTGACCATCTGGGAACACCGCGTGCCGTTTGGCATTCACACATTTGGGACCTGAATGGCCGAGTGTCAGCGCTCTGGCGCTCGGTGCCACAGGTTTCGGGTTCGAATCCCGGCGGTGCCATGGATGTTCGTAGTGGTTCGGAATTCACTTTAAACCGTAGGTCCCGGTCTCCATGACTGTAAGAGCGTCACCGAGCCAAAAGTCAGACTTCTACCTACGGGTGCTCCATCACAACAGAAGCTGCTTCCTTCCCCTTCAATCATGAGTACGTATGGACTCGTGGGCTTGGCCAGCCAAGTGGGATAAGAAACAACAAACAACATATTTCATATTTAGTGTTTCCTATTTCTTTACAATGTGCGTTTAGTATCATTTAAATTACTTATGTTTACATGTAAGAATAATAGTAAACACAATTATAACTCATTGTGTTTCCATTTTTCGCTCCCAAAAAATGTCTATTGTGGGTCTCAATCTAATAGGGAAAATATAATTTAAAAGCGGCTCGCGGAGTTAGGATGCATTTTCTGGTGGCCCGCTAGTCATTTGGGTTGGCCATCCCTGTTTTAAACTTTATTTTTAAAAATGCATGGATCTTGTTACAAATATGTATCTTAAAATTTACAAATTATTGATCAATCATTCCTATACAACTAACTGTTCTGTTAAAGCAAAATTGAGATAAATCTGTACATGCTTTAGCGTTGAAAGTATCGAAAAGATTTAAAAGTAAACAGATATCCCAGTTATGTTGCCATGCTACTAAAAATATCTGTTCATTCAATTCCTTCTATTAGCTCACGCTCTCCCTATATATATCTTGATTAAATCGTCAATCGGTCATAAAATACTTTTGATTCATCCACTCGAGTTCCCAATATATTTTTTTAACTTGTAGTGGATGACACTGGATGTGAATACAGTTTCTTCAAATATTAATTCATTTATTTTAGTTTTTTTTTTTTTTTTTTTAGATTGAAGTAGTTTTTGATTAGCTTTTTTATCTACCAATAGATCGCGACGGATAAACTTAAAAAAATGAATGAAAGTTATTTATAAAGGACTTTCTGCAACAGAGTGTGAAAAAGTAGGAATTGACTTTAATTTTTTTTTTTTTATATTACTTGTTTTATTTGTTTACCTGGAAAGGATATAGACTTACGAATTCGGACACCCGTTTCAAAATTTTTTCCTTCGATTGTCATTATGATCTAGAATCTTCTGCACGCATGGTTGACTGTGACCGTATCCGTCACCGTTTTTGGACGGGTTCCGTCTGTTGAATATGGTGAAACCGAAACCTATTTATTATTTCTATCCTCATTTTCAAAAATTTTTTTTATTTTTGTTTAACTTTTTTTGAAAATGTGGCAATGTATATTCGTTATTAAAAGTTTTTGGCACATTTTTTTCGCTGCTGATTTAGCAATTATAATATTTTTACAAAAGGTTTATTTAAATAAAATATCATGTAAGGAATTAAAAAATTAATTAATTTGACATGTCAAGTAAATATCATTTAAATTAATATATTTTTAAAGCTTGTTTCATGTATAGTATTTATAATAAAGAAAGAAATCTTAAAATGCATAAAAAAGAAATGTGTGGAAAAAGAACTGGCGCTCGATGCCACAGGTTTCGGGTTCGAATCCCGGAAGTGCCATAGTTGTTTATAGTGGTTTGGAATCCGCTTTAAGCCGCGGGTCCCGATCTCATATCACTGTAGAGCGTCACGGAGCCAAGTCAGACTTCTAGCTACGGGTGCTCCATCAACAACAGAAGCTGCACTCTTCTCTTCAACCATAGGGTTCGTGGGCTTGGTCTATATGTCTACCAAGTGGGGTAAGAAACAGCACAAAGTTTGATGCATAGAAATAACAAGTTTTTATTAAATAGAATGCGTACACACAAAAAAATCCAAGTTATTATGAATTAAAATGGGTCGATTTGAGGTAGTTAAATTTTTTAAAAACATTTGTTCTTAAACTTTGATTGAATTTATACTAAAAATACATTATATTCGAAATTATCCTTCATATTATTGAGACAAGAAAAATATGTGATCAAGTAAAATTCCTTAAAAGGTTATTATTACAAATTATCCTGGTTCTGAATGGATTCGCATTTACACCGATGGCTCTCCGTGTAATGGAAATACTGGTGCCGGTCTCTAATGTAAAGGATTTTTTGAGAAATCATATATAGTTGATCTAAATGCCTCCGATTTTGATGCTGAGATTTTTGCCATAAGGAATTATATTTTAAACCTTCTTGGACTCACTACTAATCTTAATAAAGCAGTTGTCTTTATTGACTCCCAAGCTGCAATCTTGGCAATTGTCTCCTATACACTCAGTGATTGCTTAATTGTTGAAAGAGGCTTAAGATAATTCTGTCCAATGCCATTGCTTCTGACAGGGAATAGTGTTTTTCAGTGGATTCCCAGCCCTTGTAAGGTGCCTGGACATGAAAAGGCCGACCTCTTGGCCGAAATGGGTTACCACAGCCACCATTTCCTTTATCCTTTCATCCATTTGGTTCCGAGGTAAAGAAGAAAACACAGAAACCCTTAAAACAAACTTTTCAACTGAGACAACATGAAATAGACTTGTTTCATCACCCATCCTAATGGACTTGCCCCGTGCAGTCTTTATAACACATTTCCGACTCTCGACAGGACATGACTTTCTTGATAAACACTTGCACCGCATTGGTGCTTCAGCTACTCATGTTGTCTCTCCTCTGTGAGTGAAGCCGTGGTACATGTGACACCATGCACTGCACTTGATTTTAGGACTTTTCATTCTGACAACTTTACCAAGGCTACATTTTATGGGGCTACTGGAGTTCTTATGGTGGATATCACTATGGTTTGATGTAGAAGAAATAAAGGGCTTTGTAAGCAAGTTGGGTGGGATAAGACGTTGCTTTCTTATAGATGGTTTTCGAGTGGAACCAGAGACATCTTTGCAAAATCGTAATTGGAATGTGCCATTTTTAGCAAATCAATGATTTCTCAAAATTGCAAGCTACCCTATTAAAATTAGGTGGCATCTCAGGTTTCGGGTTCGATTCCCGGCGGTCCCATGGATATTTGTAGTGATTCGGAATCCACTTTAAATCGTAGGCGGTCAAATATGATTGTAGAGCGTTGGCGTAGGGCTGACAACTCTACCACGTAAAATAATATCCTGTCTAGAAATCTGCCAGAAGGCAAACATCCTTGGGGCTGTTGCGCCACTGATGATGATACAATAGTAAGAATTTTTTTCTGATGGCCAAGTGACTAGCGCTCTGGAGTTCAGTCCCACACGTTTCAGGTTCGAGTCCCGGCGATGTCATTGATATTTGTAAGTGGTTTTGGAATCCACTTTAAAACGTAGGTCCCTGTCTAAAACGATTATTGGGTGTAGGGCTGACGATCTTATCCCTTCAAAAGAAAACAGCATCGCATGTTTTGTGTCATTTTATGATTTTTAATTCTGACAATTTTACCAAGGCTACATTGTATGGGGCTGCTAGAGTTCTTAAGAGCGGATATCGCTACAGTTTGATGTAGGAGGAAAAAAGATTAAGTGAAATATTTACTTAAATAATACTTATTAAAAGAAACTGGCTCAAATTCTTATCACACCCTAACAGGAAAAGGCGGGGCATTTTTAAATGATGGATCCGAACATTACGCATTCTATTCAAAGTGTTAAGATACTTCTACGGCCAATTGCGTGTTTGCAGATGGGCACAGTTTGCCTTTAACGGCCACTGCCAGAACAAATCAGGCCTCCTGCAGAAAAGCCCATAAAATGTGGCTAATGCATCGTCCAGGCGACGATAAAAGTGCGCAGTGGCGTCGCTCCCGGACTGTCCGGCTCTGTTTTTATCGGTTGTAAATGGAAATGAAGACCGAGGCGGGCGAGAGATAAGCGCGTGTTGCTTTCGAGCGAGGGGGTTGTCACGTGCTTCGAACAAGTGCAGATGCTTTCGAAAAGGAAACCGACTGGAATAAGTTTCTGCCCATGAACGTTACTTCACTTCAGAGAACATTTTATGACGGCTTGTTTTTAGACACTTCACTTTTAGAGGTTGTTTTCAAGATGGAGCGATAAAATTAATATTTGGTTTTGAAAATAAATGTTTAGGTTGAATTGTTTTTAAAGCTTCACTTTTAAGTTGCTGTTTTCTTCAGCTTCAAACGGTAAAATTAAAATTTGGTTTTGAAAATAAATGTTTAGGTTGAATTGTTTTTAAATGCTTTACATTTAGAAGTTATTTTTACCTTCAGACGATAAAGAAGGAATGATAAAATAAAAATTTGGTTTTGAAAATAAATATTTCGGGTTGAATTGTTTTTAAAGCTTTACATTTAGAAGTTATTTTTACCTTCAGACGATAAAGAAGGAATGATAAAATAAAAATTTGGTTTTGAAAATAAATATTTGGGTTGAATTGTTTTTAAAAAGCTTTACATTTAGAAGTTATTTTTATGAATGATAAAATAAAAAATTTGGTTTTGAATTGAATTGTTTTTTAAAGCTTTACATTTAGAAGTTATTTTTACCTTCAGACGATAAAGAAGGAATGATAAGATAAAAATTTGGTTTTGAAAATACACTCATGCCCATAAATTAAGGATAATGCAGTTCAGGCAAAGAAAAAGACAGAAGCAAAACAAATTTGACTTATTTGTAAAGTCTATTTATTAAACGAAAGGTAAAGAGCAAAAAAGATGCTATATGTTTGACATAATTAATAAAAATTGCGATTTTTTACTCCTGGAGCAAATTTCAAAAAAGAACCTATTTACAAAAAACAGTATAACATGGTTAGTATGGTGGTTAATATGGAGTATGTCTCCCGGACGATGCAATACTGGCCTTACAACGCCTAGGCATGCTGAGTATCAAATTATCAATCTGATCTTGGGGGAATATTACACCACTCATCAAGCAATGCCCTCCGAAATTCCGGTTGACAGGTGGGGGGGGTTGACGGGTTGCAATTCGTCGGCCAAGCATATCCCACACATGCT